ATCTCCAAAAGACAAAAGACCATTAGCAGATTCCCTACAAATAGAAGAACTAAATCAGGTTACCTACCGGCAGAGAACCTTTTCAGGTCATTGATCAGCTAGAAGATCTTGGTATAAATTCCTATCTGAAGATACCTTCTAGAGAATTTAAATTACCATAAAAGAGATCGCCTGAATCCACATTCGCCTGAAATGTATTTCGAAGACATTGAATATCTTATTCAAACATTCGAAAAATACTCGGAAATAATCTAATCATGTTAGTTAAATTAGGTTTCCGGTAGCATAACTGAATAAATTTTCTGTTAAAAAATATTGTATTCAGCGAAGCTGAAATAGTTTTCCGGGGGTAAAAAGTCACACCAGTCTACAATAATTACCATTAAGAATTCATTAATTCAGCTTAGGAATTCTTCAATACAGCTCAGCTGAATTAGATTTCCGTTAAGAATTCGTTAATTAAGCTCAGCTGAATTAAGTTTCCGTCAATACTTCAATTCAGCTCAGCTGAATTAAGTTTCTGTTAAAAATTATTCAATTCAGCTCAGCTGTATAAGATTTCCGTTAAGGAATTCTTCAATTAAATTCAGCGTTAGGTAATATTCAATTAATCTCAGCTGAATTAGGTTCCTTTAGGAATTCTTCAATTCAGCTCAGCTGAATTAGGTTTTCTTTAGGAATTCTGCAATTCAATTCAGCTGAATGACGTTTCCGTTAGGTAATATTCAATTAATCTCAGGTTACCATTAGAAATTCTTCAGATGAATTAGGTTTCCGTTAGGTAATATTCAATTAATCTCAGCCGAATTAGGTTTCCATTAAAAATTCTTGAATTCAGCTCAGCTGAATTAGGTTTTCGTTAAGAATTCTTCAATTCAGCTCAGCTAAATTAGGTTTCCGTTAGTAATTCCTCAATTCAGATCAGCTGAATTAGGTTTCCGTTAGGAATTCTGCAATTCAGTTCAGCTGAATTAATTCTTCAATTCAGCTTAGCTGAATTGGGTTTTCGTTAAGAATTCTTCAATTCAGCTCAGCTGAATTAGGTTTCCGTTAGAAATTCCTCAATTCAGATCCGCTGAATTAGGTTTCCGTTAGGAATTCTGCAATTCAATTCAGCAGAATTAGGTTTCCGTTAGGAATTCCTCAGTTCAGATCAGCTGAATTAAGTCTCCGTTAGGAATTGTTGAATTCAGCTCAGCTGAATTAGGTTTCCGTCATCCAAGAATTTTCAATTCAGCTTTGCTAAATATTGTTTCTAAACGGAAATAAACATTCTAGCATAGCTGAATTAGATTTCTGTTAAATCTAAATCCAAAATCCATTTTTTTCATCCAATATTTATCTGAAATGACTTGTTTTGTGTATTCTTTTATAATTTTGAAGTTAAGTTCTATGTTTGAGTTTTTCCCCCACCCAAATGGTAAAGGGAAATTGGTTATGGCTTGATTTTATTGAACTAAAAAAAAAAGAATTACGAAAAAACTACTTGCAATTAATTGTATGCTTTGTTTTAAATACTAACCCAAAAAACAACAAAAAATAAATATTAAATAAAAATTAGAGCTGGTTTCAGCAGTTATTTGTTCTCTATTCTATTTTTCCTGTTGCGTTGTTTTCCGTTTCCTTTTTGGTTTGTTGTTCGCGAATTGCATTTGCAAATCAATTCTGTGTTTGTATATTTGTGTGTGCGTGTGTGTATATTTGTTTGTATTGTATTATTATTTCTTTGTGTTTTATTGTTGGATATTTACCATGCAGAAGTGGCAGCAGCGTCTAATATTTGTTGTAAAAAAAAAAGAAAACAGAAAAACTATGCAAATGAAAATAAATAAATATTTATTTTAGTTCTATTTCTATTTGTATTGTTGGTTTTGTATTTATTTATGATTTTATTTATTTTTATTTTTTATTTATATTTTCATTTAATTATTTATGTTATTTTTGTTATGAATACTCAAAACAACAATTGTTTTCTTATAACAAAAACACACAGTTGTTTTATATGTTTATTTTCTTATTTTTTTTTTTACTTGGTGTAGTGTTTTGTTTGTGTCTCAGCAAAAACAAACAAAAGTTTTATGTTACAACAACAAAAAACAAAACGTATATGTGTTTCTTTACCATTTTAACACACTCACACAAAAATCGCTTTTAATTAAATTATATAAAACATAAATAAAAATCTAACAATCATAATTTCTTTCATGTGGTCCCAACACTTTGAACGTGAATAAAGCAGAGGTGGAAGTTTCAATACAGTTAAAAACATACATTTTATAAAAAAATCCCTTAACAATCTGAATATGCCAAAGAAAATTAATGAATTCCTATTAGAAACCTAATTCAGCTGAGCTGAATTGTGGATTTCCTGTCAGAAGCCTATTTTAGATGGACTGAATTGCAGATTTGCTATCAGAAACCTAATTCAGCTGAGCATATTTGTAAAATTCAAAACAGAAGCCTAATTCAGCTGGGCTGAATTGCAGATTTCGTATTAGAAACCTAATTCAGCTGGGCTGAATTGTAGTTTAACTATTATAAACCTAATTCAGCTGAGCATAATTGTAAATTTCGACACGCAAATCTAATTCAGCTGGGATATATTATTGATTTCCTATTAGAAACCTAATTCAGCTGGACTGAATTGCTAATTTCCTATCAAAACCCTAATTCAGCCGGTCTGAAGTGATTATTTTCTATCAAAACCCTAATTCAGCTGAGCATAATTTTAAATTTCGACACGCAAATCTTATTCAGCTGGGCTATATTATTGATTTCCTATCAGAAACCTAATTCAGCTGGGCTGATCTGCTGATTTCATATTAGAAAACTAATTCAGCCGGTCTGAATTGATTATTTCCTATCAAAACCCTAATTCAGCAGAGCATAAATGTAAATTTCGACACGGAAACCTAATTAAGCTGGGCTTTATTGATTATTTCCAATCATAAACCTAATTCAGCTGGCCTGAATTGCTGATTTCAAATTAAAAAACTAATTCAGCTGGGCTGAATTAGGGATTTCCTATCACAAACCTAATTCAACTGAGCATAATTGTAAATTTCGTCACGGCAACCTAATTCAACTGGTCTGAATGGTCGATTTTCTATGGGAACGCAGATTGAATTGGTAATTTCCTAATATAAACCCAATTCAGCTTGACTCAATAGTTGATATTCCGAAGAAAACCTAATTCAGCTGGGCTAAATTATTGATTTCCTATCGGAAACCTAGTTCAGCTTCAATATATTGTAGTCTTTCTAGCAGAATGTAAGTTCAGATAAGCTAATTAATTGATTTCCTCTCGAAACCCAAATTCAGCAAGGCTGAATAGTTAATTTCCTTTCGAAACCCCAATTCAGCTGGTCTAAATAGTTGATTTCCTATCGAAATTCAAATTCAGCTGTATGGAATTGTTCATACCGTAGCAGGAATCCAATTCAGCCAAGCTGAATTAAAGTTTATCTATTGGAAATTTAATTCAGCTGCGTTGCGGTAATAATAGCCTAACAGAAACCAAATTCAGATGGGCTTAATTTATATTTATCGATGGGAAACCCAATTCAGATCGGTTGAATTGAAGTGTTCCTAACAAAAACCTAATTTAGCTGAGCTGAATTGTATATTTCGTGGCAGAAGTCTAATTTCATTTTAGATTCTCTGTTGGAAACCTAATTCAGCTGAGCTGAATTGATGATTGATTATCGTAAACATAATTCAGTTGGGCTGAACTGTATATTTCCTGAAAAAAATCTAATACAGCTAAGTTTAATTGATGATTTTCTATCGGAAACCGAATTCAGCAGAATTGAGTTTTTAAATCCGTACTGGAAACCTAATTCAGCTGAGTTGAATTTTTAATTCCCTACAGGAAACCTAATTCAGCGGAGCTGAATTCATGATTTCTTGTCGAAAACCATATTCAGCATAGCTGAATTTATGATTTCTTATCGTAAACCTAATTCAGCAGGGCTGAACTGTAGATTTCTTGAGAAAAATCTAATACAGCCAAATTTAATTGATAATTTCCTATCGGAAATCGAATTCAGCTGAGCAGAATTTTTAATTCCCTACTGGAACCCTAATTCAACTGAGTTGGATATTTAATACCGTATCGGAAACCTAATTCAGCTAAGCTGAATTGATGATTTCCTATCGGAAACTTAATTCAGCTGAGCTGAATTGATGATTTCCTATCGAAAACCTACTTCAGCTGAGCTGAATTGATGATTTCCTATCGGAAACCTAATTCAGCTGAGCTGAATTGATGATTTCCTATCGGAAACCTAATTCAGCTGAGCTGAATTGATGATTTCCTATCGGAAACCTAATTCAGCTGAGCTGAATTGATGATTTCCTAGCGAAAACCTAATTCAGCTGAGCAAAATTGATGATTTCCTATCGGAAACCTAATTCAACTGAGCTGAATTGATGATTTCCTATCCGAAACCTAATTCAGCTGAGCTGAACTGAGGATTTCCTACCGGAAGTCTAATTCAGCTGAGCAGAATTAATGATTTCCTGTTGGAAAAACTAATTCAGCTGAGCTGAATTGAGGAAATTTAAAATATACCCTATAGATAGGGTATATTTTAAACTTCTAAAAGGATAGAGGCATTATAGAAAATCTCGGGAAAATCTCTTCTATCTAAAGAAGACCTCTTAAGAGTTCTGTGTCGATTGAAGAACTTCGGTAAAAAAATAAATAAAAATCCTTACCCCCTGTATTGAACCTTTCACCTCTCCGGCGGACTACATGAAAATTAAATTTTGAAAAAAATTCAAAATCTAAATGTAAATGTGTTTGTTTTATTCTGAAATTAAAAAAAAAAACTATAACAAAAATTTCCAATCATCTCTCAAAACCCCATTAACCAGCCAAACAATACCCCCACGAAAAATAAATTCTGATATGATTGGATGTTTGTTTCGTTCTGCAATTTTTTTTTTTCGTTTCCATTTTCCGTTTTTTATTTCAAATTCCAATTTCGATTTTGCAGTTTCTGAATATGGCCTCGGTCTTTATGCGAATTTTCAATTTGATTTGTATGATGTTGTTGATCGGCCATTGGAGTGGTTGTTTGCAATTTTTAGTGCCAATGTTACAAGGGTTTCCCTCGAACTCGTGGGTGTCGATAAACGAATTACAGGTATTTGCCAAAAGAATATATTCAAAATTTCAATTTTGAAAATAATTTTGAATTAAAAAAAATAAAATCGAAATTAAATATTATTCTTCCCCTAGGAGTCATATTGGCTGGAACAATATTCATGGGCTTTATTTAAAGCCATGTCACATATGCTATGCATAGGTTATGGCAGGTGAGTGAGGACCCCATTTCGAGGAGTATGGAACCCCCCTCTCAAATATTCCCCAATGTGTTTTTATTTTCTTTCCTTCAGATTTCCTCCCCAATCCCTTACCGATATGTGGCTGACCATGCTGTCAATGATATCGGGCGCCACCTGTTATGCCCTGTTCCTCGGTCATGCCACAAATCTCATCCAGAGTTTGGATTCGAGTCGACGCCAGTATCGCGAAAAGGTCAAACAGGTCGAAGAGTATATGGCATATCGGAAGCTGCCGCGCGATATGCGTCAACGAATAACGGAATATTTCGAACACCGGTATCAGGGTAAATTCTTCGATGAAGAATGCATTCTGGGTGAATTGAGCGAAAAGCTAAGAGAGGATGTTATCAATTATAATTGCAGGTGAGTGCATAAAGAAATCCCCGATCATGATTGATCGTGATAAATTATAATATTTCTTATCTTGCAGATCTCTCGTTGCGTCAGTGCCTTTTTTTGCAAATGCTGACTCCAATTTCGTTTCCGATGTCGTTACAAAACTTAAATACGAAGTATTTCAACCAGGTACTGCAGATTGGATTTTAAGTCATAAAAACCTGATCTGAATTTCGAACTTCTCTTCCAGGTGATATTATTATAAAGGAGGGTACAATCGGTACCAAAATGTATTTTATACAGGAAGGTGTCGTCGATATTGTTATGGCCAATGGCGAGGTAAGTGAACAGATGTGAGGTTATATAAAACGGAGGGTATCCGTTAGGAAAACTTAAATTCAGCCAAGCTGAATTATATTTCCGATAGGAAAACGTCAATTCTGCCATGCTGAATTGGATTCCCATGGCAAAAAATTTAATTCAGCCCAGCTGAATTCGGTTTCTTATCAGATAACTTCAATACCGCTTGGCTGAATTAGGTTTCCGAGAGGAAAACCTCAATCCAGTTCAGCTGAATTAGGTTTCCGATAGAAAAACTTCAATTCAGTCTAGTTGAATTAGGTTTGCGACATGAAGACTTCAATTCAGTCCAGCTGAATTGGATTTATCAAAGGAAAACTTTTACACAGACTGGCTGAATTAGGGTTTTCAAAGAAAAACTTTAATCCAGACTGGCTGAATTAGTTTCCCGATAGAAAAACGTCAATTCAGTCCTGCTGAATTAGGAGTGCGACAAGAAAACTTCAGTTCAGCCTAGCCGAATTAGGTCTCCGACAAGATAATTTCAATTCAGTCCAGCTGAATTAGGTTTTCAAGAGGAAATCATTCGTGAATTAGATTTCCGGTTGAAAAAAAACTTAATTTAAAGCTGGCTGAACTAGTTTTCCGATAGGAAAACTTCAATTCAGTCCAGCTGAATTAGGTCTGCGATATGAAAAATTCAATTCAGTCCAACTGAATTATGTTTCTCAAAGGAAAACATTATACCAGACTGGCTGATTAGGGAGTCCGATAGAAAAACTTTAATTCAGGCTGGCTGAATTAGGTTTCTGGATCATTTCAACATGGCTCAATAAGGTTTCTAATAGAAAAATTTTAATTCAGCATGGCTGAATAAGATTTATGATAGGAAATCTTCAATTCAGCCTGGCTGAATTAGGTTTCAGCAAAGCTGAATTACGTTTCTAATAAGAAGTCAACAATTCAGCAAGGTTGAATTATGTTTTTGTTAGGAAACCAACAATTCAGCAAAGCTGAATTACGTTTCTGATATGAAATCAACAATTCAGCAAGGTTGAATTATGTTTTTGTTAGGAAACCAACAATTCAGCAAAGCTGACTTACGTTTCTGGTAAGAAATCAACAATTCAGCAAAGCTGAATTATATATCTGATAATAAATCCACAATTCAGCAAAGCTGAATCCTGTTTCTTTTAAGAAATTAACAATTCAGCTAAGCTAAATTGGGTTTCTGATAATAAATCAACAATACAGCAAAACTGAATTATTGGAAATCAACAATTCAGCAAAGCTGAATTATATTTCTGATAAGAAATCAACAATTCAGCATAGCTGAATTATGTTTCTGATAAGAAATCAACAATTCAGCAAAGCTGAATTACTTTTCTAATAAAAAATCAACAATTCAGCAAATCTGAATTCTGTTTTGTTAAGAAAGCAACAATTCAGCAAAGCTGAATTACGTTTATGCTATGAAATTAACAATTCAGCAAAGCTGAATTATGTTTCTGATAAGAAAGAAACATTTCAGCAAATCTGAATTACGTTTCTGATAAGAAATCAAAAATTCAGCTAAGCCAAATTATGTTTCTGACAAGAAATCAATAATTCAGCAAAGCTAAATTATGTTTCTAATAAGAAATCAATCATTCAGCTTTGCTGAATTAAGTTTACGATTGGACATCAACAATTCAACATGGCTGAATTATATTCCAAATAGGTTTCAGATGAGAAAACTTCAATTCAGCTTAGATTAAATATCTGATAAAATCTACGCCTCAGGAATACCTTGAAAAAATATTCTTTAAAAAATCCCCGCCTTAGGAGGACCTTGAAAAAATATTCTTTAAAAAATCCACGCATTAGGAGGACTTTGACGTCTGTCTGAGGTCTTGAAAAAAATTCTTTTAATAAATTATTATTTCCCCATTTTTTCTCCCCTTTTTTCCAGGTGGCAACATCATTATCGGATGGCTCATATTTTGGTGAAATTTGCCTGCTAACAAATGCCCGTCGTGTGGCCAGTGTCCGGGCCGAAACCTATTGTAATCTATTCTCGCTAAGCGTGGATCATTTCAATTGTGTGCTGGACCAATATCCGCTGATGCGCAAAACGATGGAAACGGTGGCGGCGGAACGTCTCAATAAGATTGGCAAAAATCCCAATATTATGCAGCAGAAAGATGAACAAATCAGCAATCCTGAGTCAAATCAAATAACGGCCGTGGTGAATGCCTTGGCAGCGGAAGCGGATGATTGTAAAGATGAGTAAGTTCCGAAAATATACCAGGAGATTTTTTGTTATAATTTCTGATTTTCTGTTTTTCACAGCGACATCGATGCTAAAGAGAATTTATTGCATGGTTCCATGTCGAGCATAACAGAGCCCATACAAACCATACGTGAAGGTCTACCCCGTCCTAGAAGTGGTGAATTTCGTGCTTTATTCGAGGGCAATACTCCATGACACTGAGAAAAGCTTTCATCCGCGTCGACACCAACGCTGCAGCTGTATCAATATCATCGCCAGCTGTTGGCGATCAGTGTGTGTGGTGTACGTCGTGCTACACTGTGAAAAATATTTATATATATACATATAGACACACACACATCTATATATATAGAGAAATATCCCTCCTCCTTCTCCAACAAAAGCAACAACAAGAACAACAACCCTCCTTCCTATGATAGATGTACGATGCCCGCTCGCTATTAAAATTATCATTTAGAAGAAGTCCATCACATGCCTCACCTAACCTCACATTACACACACACCCACCCACAGACAATGTCATCTACCCTCGATTAGGATAAATCTATTGAAATACAACAACAACAACATTAGTCACATCATCATAGTAGCATCATCAGCCGCAGCAGCAAAACAAAAAACCTAACAACAATAACAAAACTGAAAAAAATGCAACAACAGCAACAAAAAAAATTTAAAAAAAAACCCGCATTAGTGACGCAGCAACAACAACATGTTTATATATAAAAGTATATATATTTAACAAAATTATAAAAAAAACAAAAAAATAATACAAAGCCTCATTAGCTACTAAGCAGCCTGATATGAACAACAACAACAAAAAGAAAACGACAAAAAAATAACAAAAACAAATACGAAAACAAAAATCTACTACATAACTACTAGAAAAACAAAAACAAAAAAACAGGGAAATTATAAACAAAAAAAAAATGTCCTTGGGAAGGATAAGCCTTTCCTGCTCTGTCTTCTCTCTATCCGGGAGCCATTTTCAAAATCCCCGTTTTTGAATTGTATAGTTTGCATTGTGTTAATTTTTATTTAATTTAATTTATTATAAAGTCAAATATACTCGAATGTCATCTTGTTTTAGTTGAATTATTTTTATAGCATACTTTTAGGCGCTTCTTGTTAAAACCCTTTATATCTCTCTCTCAATTAATATAGGATTTATTATGTACTAAGTTTAAATATTTTTAATTAATTTTTTTCACATTTTATTTTTTATTATATTTTTAATCATTTTTTTAAGATTTATTTGTTAATATTTTTTATATCTAACACACATACTCACATAATTATTATTACAGATTAACATTAATAAGCCAAAGCTAAAATATATATATATATATATATATATATATATATATATATATATATATATATATATATATATATATAAAAAAAAATAATTATTTAATTTAATTTTGTATGTATTTTTTTTTTAATTAACATTTTTTAGTTTATGTTATAAAAAACCACATATAATATTAAAAATATATATAAACTAAAATATATATATATATATATATATAGAGAGAGAGAAATAATAAATTTAGAAAATAAATTTCAAAAATATTCAAATTGTGAGAAACTTTCAACGCGGTAGAAATTAAAGCTTCACAGGGCCAATATATTTAAATCGAAAAAAAAATCAAAGGGCCGAATATTTTCTATAAAACAAAGAGACCTTTGATTTTTCCTATACTGAAAAAAAAATCGAAGGACCGCATATTTTCTATAAAAACATTTATTCGACAAAGAAACCTTTGATTTTATTCTATAGAAAAAAATCAAAGGACCCCGCATATTTTCTATAAAACAATTATTCGACACAGGGACCGATTTTGGGATTTTGTAAAGGGGAAAAAATTAGGTTTCGAGATACGCGAACAATGAGGTTCCAATCATTGGGCATGCTTTCCTATAGCCAAATTGTACTAATCAGCTGGTGAATGCTCTCTACCAGCATCTGACCACCAGTCTTGAAAAGTTCGTTCGTCTTGTAACCCATCGGCACCTGCAGCTTTATTATTCTTCAGCCGATTGATTGCTATTCTGACTTCATCTTGGCTAGGTGGTATATACTCTATACCGTCATCTATTATTGGTTCTGGTGTATCCTCTTCACCGCTACTATTTGATACCAGAATTTTTTAAACAAAAACGTATTTAAAAAATCTCAAAAAATAATTGGAAAAAAATTAAAAATCCACACCTAAATTTATAAAAATATTTTTTATTAAAACCACATCTGGAGAGATTCTGACAGACATTTTTTTTTAAAAAATTAAGAAAAAAAATTAAGTTTCGAGATTTGCGAACAATGATTAAATGTAGGTCAAACCAAAGGTAGCCTTGGAAAAAAGTGTTCGACCATTATGTTGTTGTTGTTGTAGCAGCTAGTACTGCTGTGTATTTTCTATTTTCTTTAATCTTGTTCTACCTCTCCAAACTCCAAGTTCAGAAAGGCTGCGACCTGCATTGGTTGAGTCCAGAGAGAAGATGGGGTTAGGTGAGTGGGTTTGGCTGGCCAGTTGAACAGATGTAGCGTGTCATGTGGTCCATTACCACATGCCGGGCAGACATTGTCGTCCTCTCCATCAATTCGTGCCCAATACGAATTGAGGCGGCTACACCATCCAGATCTCAGTTGTGCCAAGACCACTCTAGTTTGTCGAAGTAGGTGCTGCTCTTCTGCAGCTATCAAAGGCGGATGGTCCCCGATGATGGTATTCACGCCATATTCTTGAACTGCTTCCTCAACTGCGTCCATGTGAATACTGTTCAATCATGCTTGATAGGCCTGTTGATCTAGAGGCTCCCTTTTGTACCTCTGGACCTATCTCTCCAGATCATGGAGATCCTTCCTGACATGCCTGGGTGGTGGGTGCCTATCCATTAGGTAGCAATAGACCAATAGACCATTATGTCGATGTCATCGGCGTAGGCGAGTAACTGGTGTTGTTTGGTGTACAGAGTGCCATTTCTGTTCACTTTCGCCTCTCGTATGACCTTTTCCAGCACGATGTTAAAAAGGTCACACGACAAACTGTCACCTTGTCTGAATCCTCGTTCGGTATTGAAGGTCTTCGAGAGGTACTTTCCAACATTAACTGCTGATCTTGTGCCAGTTAAAGTTATCCTTCATAGCCGAATTAATTAATAATGGCTTTAAACACCTCTGAACGGATAGGGCTGTCGAATGCGACTTTATAGTCAACGAATAGGTGGAATGTGTCGATCTGTATTTCGTGTTTTTTTCAAGGATTTGGCGCAGAGTGAAAATCTGGTCAATGGTGGATTTGCCAGGTTTGAAGGCGCATTGGTATGGACCAATAATGTCATTGACCATTGGCTTCAGTCGTTCACACAGCACTCTGGATAGCACTTTATATGCGATGGGAAGGAGACTTATTCCTCTATAGTTGGCTAATATCGTCTTGTCTCCTTTTTTGTGCACGGAACACAGGATGCTGAGGTTCCAATCATTGGGTATGCATTATTCTAGCCAAATTGTACTAATCAGCTGGTGAATGCTCTTTACCAGCATCTGACCACCAGTCTTGAATAGTTCGGCTTGTAACCCATCGGCACCTGCTGCTTTATTATTCTTCAGCCGATTGATTGCTATTCTGACTTCATAGGTGGTATACACTCTATACCGTCATCTATTATTGGTTCTGGTATATCCTCTTCACCGCTACTATTTACTTTTGTCTAATTTTCTGGTCGATCCAAAGGCCGCAATTATAGCCCAAACATCGCGAATTTTTACATGGAGAAGGGTATCGGGCCAAAGAATAATTATGCCTGTTTTGATAAAGGTCGGTCAAATGGACCTGACTTTTGTGTGAAAAATGACATAATTTGTATTCTATGGCATATATATAGTCGTTAGTTAGAAGTTGATAGTAAATCCAAGAGGAGTAGTTGGCCTTTAAATTGATACCAATTATATTGTCGTATGTACTCGGATGTGGGAGTTACACTTAAATATTTACAGGTCCTTACGTACTCAGATATTATTAATTAACCCATTATCACGCTAGAGGGCGGAAATGTAGCGCTGATTGCTTTGAAATTTCCCATAAAGTTCCAGTTATGGTCAAAAACAACGCTTATAATTTTTGGTGATGATCAGATAATAATATTGGGATGAAGTGGACCGAAAACTTAATTTAATGTGTTTTTTTCGAGTAGATCTACAGGCCACAATTGAAAGCCGAACATCACAACACAACCCACGGCGAAGGGAATCTGGACAAGTAATTAGAAGGGCTGTACTCAGAAGCTCAAAATATAGAACACAAAGTTAGATTTTTGTGGAAGTTGTGTAGGGTATCATATGGTCGGCCCTATCACTGGTTAAATTTAAGTTTACTCCAGGAGACTTTGGAAAATATGCATCAAATAAAAATATTCCCAGACAACAAGGAAAATTTTTTCCTTACAAACAAATATAAAAATATTCACAGGCTCCTATGACAATTTTTTTCTATAGAAAAAAAGACATTGATCCACAGAACCGATTTTTTTAACAGAAAACATTTTATCAGACCCAGATGACTAACTTGTTTTCATGGAAAATTTTTTTGAAAGTCAAGGTTTGAGTTTTTTGCCTAACAAATCCACATGACATATTTTTGGAAAAATTATAAGACCTCCATGTCTGATTTTTGTTCCAATGTTTGCCAGATCCACAGGACGGTTTTTTCCCAAACTTCAAGGAAAATTTTGTTAAAAAAAATAGTAAAAATATTTATAGGCTCCTAGGACAACTTTATTCTATAGAAAAAATGTATTGATCCACAGGACAATTTTTTTCTTAACAGAAAAAATTATTAGACCCCAATGACTGACTTGTTTTTATGGAAAAATTTTTGGAACTCAAAAGAAAACTATATCCCCAGACTTCAAGGAAAAATATTTTCTTCTTATAAAAAAAAAATAGTAAAAATATTTCTATAGAAAAAAAATTCAAAATTTTTTAATAGAAAACATTTTATTAGACCCAGATGGCTGGCTTATTTTCATGGAAAACATTTTGAAACTCTAATCAAAATATTTCCCAGACTTCAAAGAAATGTTTTTTCCTTAAAGAAATAGTAAAAATATGCACAGGCTCCTGAGGACAATTTTTTCTATAGAAAAAAATTCATTGATCCACAGGATCGAATTTTTTTTAACAGAAAACATTTTATCAGACCCAGATGACTGACTTGGTTTCATGGAAAACATTTTGAAAGTCAAGGTGTGAGTTTTTTTACCTAACAAATCCACGGGACATATTTTTAGAAAAAT